TTTTAATATGATTAAAATGAATGATAATATGTGATGAGACCTAAAAACCCTCAACCAAACCATTATTAAGTTTACAAGCGTGAGAATGCTTTGAACACTCTTTCGTGGCCTTCCACCGTGGTAGGCTCCAATCATTTGTGACTTGTACACCGACTTAACCTTATCATGGGGAGTACAAAGTGTGTGCTGACACTCAGGAGGAGTTCTATATACATACATGATGAAGTGAGGTAGGCAACAAGTTTAGCCAACATGATATCATTCTAAGGCTATGCTTGAACCCCTGCACGAACCAGGCACAATGGGAATGACTTAACTAAGTGCAATGATGCCAACATGATATCATTTTGAGGCATCATTCTCTGGAGGCCAAATAAGATGGGTACTTACAAGAGATGCAAATGAGTAAGCGTACTCTATCATTACTATTAATGCTAGCCGACATCATATCATTGTGAGGTGGGCTTGGTAATAGTGAGCCTCCTATACCCTACTAAGAGTTTCCTTCAAAACTATCGAATTCCAATGAGGGATATGGAATTTGCCAAAAATAGTGGGTGGTGCTATTTAATTTAAAGACCCGGATCAAATGGCTTAAAATCAATCAATTTATATCGTTATGTATTAATTTACCGATATATTTGCAAACGTTATCCAAAGCTTGAGAAAGAAAAGCTGAATGCTTTAGTTTCCGGACTTGGTACCATATTCCCATAGATTGTCTTGAATGGATTGTATATGTACCTAAGTAGTCTCATCCTCACAACTTGCTATTGATAATGTATCATTAGAAGAACATGTTAGATAAGTCTATCATAAAGGGGACAACACAAACAACCAATGCTTATTCCTTTATTGTATGAATAAAGGAACTTATGAAGATTAGCATAAAGACATGGACACTTTTATTGTCATAGTTCTTCACTTACAAATCGTTGTATGAAGAAATAAGAGTTGCTTTGAACAACCCTTAGTTAATGCAAACACTAGTGCTTGTTTCTTTGCCAAATGAACAAGGAACTCGAGAAGTAAGCACAAGGGCATGGACACTTTATGTGCCATGATTCTTCATTTACAAATTGTTGTATGAAGAAATGAGAGTTGCCTTGAACAACTCTTGAAAGTTTGTAAATATGTTTAGAACATAATGGTTGGTTGACAAAAATAGTCCATCAACATGGACTTATGATGATTTTGAATCATTGAGTGTTGAAATGTTAAACCACTTCTAGAGACGGAAACTAGGTAAAGACTTCACCTTTTGTGTCCCTATCCAAATGGTTCACTAAGTTTATTGTAAACTATATTGTGAACAATAACCGCGTGGTCTCCAAATCGTTTGATGTGTATAACACAATTGAAATAGGTTTCAAGAGAGATAGTGGGGGTTTAGGGACCAAGACTGTTGTAGTCAATGGAGAAGTCAAATAAAGAAGACAAAATAACTCCAAGGGAACAAACTTGCTTTATGAAAGGATGGACATTGGAAGGCGTATTTGCAAGAAATGTCTTGCAATTGTCAAGAACACACCTTTCGAAGGTGTTGTAAATTGTTCTTGAATAGTTCAAAACAATTGGTTCTTCTACTTGAATGCTTGATTCTGTATTAGTAACTATGTTTTACAATCGTTGTAAAAGTGTGGCTAATAAGAAGTAGTGAACTTGCTTTAATTGCAAGTTTGCCACTACATTGTGAGGTGGTATAAAGGCAACTTTATAGCTATTTCATCCTTAAGGGTTTTCTTTGGAGAAATGATGAGAACAAAAGCTCTCTTGACTCTCTAGGAGGCCGGCCACCTTGGAAGAGATTACTAGCATCTATCTCTTCCTAGGTCACTCATCTATTCATCAATACTCTTCTTAGTGTGGAAAAATTAGAGGTTCTCTATTTTGGGAACTTGGAGAATCCTTTCGACCATCCTCCTCCAAGAAATCCATGGATCTAAGAAGCAAGGAATGAAGGCCCTTTCCTTGGGTGATTAGCCTTTGCTTATGAGTGCATACAAGCATGATTTCGCCTTTTTATTGTTAATAGCATGCATAGATGTTGCTCAAATGAACTTATTTTCACAAAAATGTCCTTCAACTTCTTGATCTCGCGACTGCGGCCGAGGAAGGAACACGTCTAGGCCTTCGGGTTCTAGAGCCTGAAGACAAGGTTGTTAGTTCTGCGAAGTTCAAATAGCAAATTCAGCTTTCAATGCGTTGAATGTAGTGACCTGTAACACCTCATTTCTCCGAGAAGGCTAATGAGATGACCTCTACTAACAAGGACTCGAAAATCCTTGTCGACCAAGACTTGGATAAATAATCAGTCGGTCTCGAAGCAGTGTTGTTTATCTAAACTAAAGGTGCTTCTTGATCGGCTGATCCTACAGCTCTAGTGCTGTTTATCCAAACTGAAGATGTCACTGGTTACCTTCACAATGTTGTTTATCTAAGCTGAAGATGTGTTGGCGGGAAGAAAGAAAATAAAAATCTCAAGGTTGTTGAGAGGTTTCGCGTAGAGTGAGAGTTTGCGCATGGCAATTTGTATGTTGAATTGGAGAGGCTTTGAATACCATTTGCCGCTTTGTATTTATAAGGACGTACCTTGATGAACACGCTATGAAGTTGTTGCTGTAACTTGGAATATCCAATCGAAATAAATAATTCCAATGAACATTATTCCAAAGGAGCAAAGCCACACTTTGATAATTGTCGTCCACTTATGATAACCATACAATCAGATCAATTTACAAGCACATGGAACTCTTCCCATAGCATCTTAAATCACCATGCAATGTTTAGACCCATATTCAAATCCAAGTGCATGCACTACCAAAGTCTAAGCACTTTAGCCCATGTTGTGCTTTTTCTTTCATTGGTAGCCTAATCTAAACAAAAGACTCCCTCTTCCACTCATTTGTACAGGTGCAACCATGCAATGCCACGCTAATTGCTCATCAATTGCAATATTTATTTTATTCGGCATTATCATATGCTACGCCTTAATCACCTAGCTGTGTTCCAGATAATGGTAAGTCTAGATAATTCAATACTATTAAGAGATAATCATTATGATTAAAACCACAATATCATCCTTTAATAATATTGAAAATTATCTCAACCAATTTGTCATCCAACGGTCTAGAACTTAGCTCATTCAACGACCTTGATTACTCGAGCTGATGAAGTAAAATCCGGTCCAAACCATACTACTACAAAATGAAACCCTAAAAGGTCTTAGAATAAAACTAGGAAACATAATAAAATAATAAAACAAAAAATCAAAGGTTTCCTATTTGAACTAAAATTTGGACTTCTCAGAAAATTAGACCTCTGACCCACCAGATCAACTCCGATTTGGTCTCAAAATGTCTATTTTGAAAGTTTGAGACATCCCCAACAAACCCTCAGAAGGAATCTTCCTCTAAAAATATGTCATCTTGACCTCAAAAATGCCCAAAACGTCCAAAAACATCAATTTGGGAAAGCTGTGCGCTGTGCCTTTATTTCATTGCCACAGTCAAATGGTTAAGTAGAAAAATCTGAAACTTTGATACAATTATCTTGAAAGACTCACGAACCTCCTCCAATTAGAATCACTTTAAAATTCGTCTGTTTGGTTACTTTACACTCAAGAGGAAGCCGAATGTCCTACATTAGAAATATAATACAAAGTATCAAAATCTCACCAAAATAATCAATAACTTAATACTAAGATTAGGGTAAATATATAGTAAAATATTGACTCATCAAATACCCCCAAACTTAGCTTTTTGCTTGTCCTCAAGCAAAACAAAACTAGAAAACAAAAATAAAAACTAACGAACTTGCAACTTAACTAAGACAAAATTTTCATCTTCAAGTTGCAATCCATAAAGAACGTTAAAAATTTAAAACATCTTTCCAAAAGTTTCAACTAATCCCACAACAGAGTTGAAGTCATTTAGAATCAATTAGAAAAGAATTCATGAACTTCCTTTAGTGTAAAGTGGACTAGAGACTCGACTAAAACCCTTACCCTCGTCTTCTTTATTCATACTTCACATACTAACTTGATATATATATTTCTTTTTTCCTTCTTTTGTTGCTTTTTTTTTCTTTTTCCTTTCTTTCTTTCTAGTAACAGTAGTGGTTGTGCAATACCAGTTGCCTTAAGCTTTCTATCCAACCCATATAGTGAGCTTTACGCCAATGACTCCCAAACCATATGGGCTTTAGGGCACTAGGTGTGGAACACCCCTAAGGACTTATTAACTCAAGTTGAAAAGGCTACGAAACTAACTAACCACCTTGCCACATGCCAAGACTTTACTGTTTGACGCAAGAATCACTACTGATCAGGCAGGACTGCCCCGGTTACTAAGTAAAGCCTTTGGTGGAACAACTATTACTTGCTTTATAATAATAACTAAACTTTACTTTATTTAGAACAAAAATGAAAAATACACTTGGACAAAAAGCAAGTGCTTCAATTTCACTCCCCACAAATCATGTTGGTGTGAGTGTGCAAATTTTCAAAAGTATAACTCATGAATTAGTGTTTAAGCAACGATAAATAGAAAAGACTCTATGGGATTAACCTTCACCATGTCCATTTGTTCTAACCTTTAAAATAATCTATGGATATAAACTTAAAATTTGAAAATTTTTATTTGACTCAAAAAATTAAAAATATAAGATTGTATTTTCCACCCCCAAACTTAAATCACACTTTATCCTCAAGGTGTGGAAATAAATGAAAAACATGAAAAAAAAAGAATTAAAAAAAAAAAAAAAATTAAAAAAATAAAAACCTAATAACTAGCTATTAAATAAAAAACGGAAATTAAGAATATAATATAAAGACAAAAGGTACAATTATGAACAAAACTTAAAAAGGACAGATGGTACCTGGGTTCGATATGGTGTCCTGATTCAAGGAAATCATGGGGCCTTGAGGAACCACGCATTGGGCCGTGGGAAAACCCACGCAAATAAACACATGAGCACCAGAAACCCTAATACCTGCGATTAGAACTGATGATCAGGGTTGGATATGGTGTCCCATTCACTCTCTAGCCTCAAGCCCAGAGCCAAGCGGCTCTCTTCCACATTTTCATCAGTCCTCACGCTCTTAAATATGAGCAATGTCTCTCATTTCGCTCCCAACGCTTTGTCTTTCTCTCTCTCAAATAGGAGACATGTCTCTCACTTTCTCACTCATCAACAACACAGCAAAAGAGGTTCAGGGAGTGCATCACGCCTGCAAACGGAATAGCGGGCCTCATTTCCGTCCAATCCAAGAGCTTAAAGGTATAAAGAGAAAACTCTCCCCCAAACGTTTTTGTTTCAATTTCGATTTGTGCATTTCAGGAAAATAAACCAAAACTCGAACATGCATGTGGTCTTTCTCTGTGCAAGGAACTTTGAGCCGCCGTCAGTACCAATGAAGAGACAACGGAATTGCTACAACAGCTCAGATCCGGCGATGCACTGGAAAACAAAACAGGAAATGCTCGGACCCAAAGCCTAAGGTATAATTTCCGACTCCCTTTTCTTTGATCTGTTCTTGCATGTGTTATGAATGATGAGTCAAAATGGTGTGCACAAAACAGGATCTGTACCCGTGCTCTCCTCTGTGTTGCTTGGATCCCACCCACAAACTTGTATGTAGTGATATTTTAAATAAAATGCGAGGGAGTGATTGAGGGAGAGGGGGTGCCAAGCAATGCAATGGACTTCATCACCAACCCCACTGTAAGTATGTCTGGAACTCTGCCCGTGCATCTTTCTGCATTCCCTTAGTTTCTGTAGTGCTGAATCTCATTAATGTTGATGAATTTACGATGAATGCTCTGACGTGAATGTATGTTGAATGCTGCTGAATGCATGATTCAGGCGAATGTGCGCATTTATTGGATATTTGGGGCTGAATTGTTTCCAAATGCAACCTGCAATGATCACACAATAAGAATCTAATTAGCATAAGCCCAAAATAAAATACTGATTAACTAAGAATATGGCTGTTTTTGTGTTTCTCAATTTCCTAAATTTTTTTATTTTTTGATAAGAAATTAAAAGCAAGGAAATAAAATGAACGAAAATAAAAATGAAATGAGTTTAGAAAAATTTGGGTTGCCTTTCAATTAGTGCTTTAGTTAACGTATATAGCTAGACATAGAGGAAAGAATTGATGATCACGTCACTTGTTCTCTTAAAATCAATCACACTTTAACAGCATCACATGGCTGTGGGTACAGAATGAGATGTTTGTCAATTATGTGTTTCAGTGGAGTGGTTGAATCCTTCATATTCGGCCTTCTATGTGAATGAAGCACCCATAGTTTCTGTAATGGTTGAAGTTCTTTACAAGGAATATGGCTGTCAATAAGCTTTTTCTTCTTCCACTTGTAAATATTAGCCTTCTTGAAGGATTTGCCCAGATTCTCGTTAAAGTTGATGGACTGTGCTATTGGCGTGTCCAATTCAGCAACCAAAATTTTCTGATCAATAGCCAGTTGCTCTGGATCCAATATGCTGATTTTGTATGAATAGCTTCATCCAACACATCAGTTTTAATGAACTCCTGCAGCTTAGTGGGTTGCGTTGCAGCCTCTGCATAGGATGTGCGTGGCATATAAACTTGGGTAGTAATTGGATCTGTGGGAATTTCAGTATCAGCAGGTGCTGTTTCTTCCATCGGGCATGAGTCATCGACCTGGGATTCTTCAATTTCAGATTCGTTCATCCTATCGTTGGTTTTTTCCCATCTCTATCTTTGATCAACATAGCACTCTTCTGAAACTTGCTGGTTAGCAATTGGTTGAGTAGGAAAAATTGAATCGGAATCGTTTTCTTATTCTGCTAATTGGTATGCGAGCTGCCCATTTTGCTGCTCTAGACTGTTGATTGATTTTATTTTCTACAACTTAAGGGTACTCTCCATAAACAACCTAATGGACTCCTCCAACTTAGCAATCTGGTACTCCAAAGAAAGTTTCTGTGGCACACAGGGCTGCTAAAATCCCTGTTGATTGCTTACCCACATAACAGGATGCTCTGTCCATCGAGGGTAAGAGTTTGAATATGAATCGTTCTCGTTTTCTGGGAATTGATACGCACGCTGTCCATCTTGCTGTTCAATTATCTTTGCTGATGGTTTGGTATTCGGCATTCTATCAACAAATTGCTTGACACACTGCCAATTCAGCAAGTTTGTCATCTAGAGCAGATCTTTGTGGCACACTTTGCAATTCAAAGGGCTCTTGATTACCCATCCACATAGAACTAGGCTGCTCTGTCCACCTTGGATTGTAAAAGTTTGAGTATGGATCGCACCTAGGCCCTTGAGAGTTCCTCATATTGATAATTCCATGAAGGCAACCCTCCTTTTGGTTGTAGATTCTAGCCCATCGTTTAAGTGTTCTCAAAACCAACAAAACATAACCTACAAAAATAAAAATAAAATCAACAAGTAAAAAGATATATACCAAAATAATTAACTAAGAATATGATAAACATATTAGTTGAAACAATCCACTTATTTGATAGGATTTTTACCATGTGCACAAATAGGGATAAAAACACTTAAAAATACTTGCAAGGGTACAAGGTTGTTGTAGTATAACAGCTCAACCAAGGTCCTTTTTGTTGGAAGTATGCCCACAAAGCCACTTATTTGATGTAATAGCTTTTGGAATACTTATTGTGTTAAGCTATTATATGTTAAATGAAGGGTAAATGTTATTGTTAATCACTATTTATTGTATTATGTGTTTAAGCAATAAGGGAATCCAATGAATGTATTTAATCTAAGAGATAAGTAATTTAAGTAAGTTAGATTAACTAGACCTTTCTCTTATGTTCATTTCTAAAACGTTCCTAACCATAGGATTGCCAATTGGGCATTGACAATCCGCTAAGGTTAGTATGTGTTATGATAACTCAAGTGTGAGTATGACTAGTCTCAAGTCATTTAGTGTTGGACATTGAGACAAACACATAGGTGCTCAAATGGTAATTGAGTGCACTGAACTACGATCAAAAGAGAGTTCGAACATACATGTCATGTAAGAACTCGTAAGTTGCAATATGCAAAGTAATCCTTTGACCTGAAGCATCATAGATGTCTAATTGTTAGGTCTTTGATCTTTGATCATGTTAAAGGCATTCCATTGAGAGTGTCCATGACATTGTTGGGGTCAAGGTATCTAGTCATGTAGGCATATGAATGCACAACAAGAGATCTTTAACCTTCCATGGTGGTGGGAGAATACTTTGAGATATGATTCAGGAGTCTTTGGCCAAAGCATACGAATATGACTTAGCAAGTTTGTTCTAAATCATATTCAATTGAATCATATAGAGAAGTATCACATTGGATAGTAGACATGAAACAAACATCACTCAAACAATGTGATTATGAGTATTGTATTAGAGAATAACTGTATTGCATTGTAATTGTAACTGGATAGGTTCTCCAACCACTTCTACTTAGCTTGGGTAGTCATGACATACTGCTAGGTGTTACTCATGGTTTGTGGAAGCCGTGAAGATTAGCAAACACTAATCTTCATCAAAGGGAGAATTGAAATGTAGTTTCAATTCACAATCGATCGTTAAGAGTAACAATCACCCACTGCCTCGCTAATTGGAACCTAATGGATCGTTCATCGAGTAAGGATGAAAGTGAAGAAATATAAATGAGATAGATAAGCAATTAGATGGTTTAATTGAGAATGGTCATGATTAATTAATTAGTTAATTAATTATACGAAAGGTTTGTATTGGGCTTTCAAGTTAGTTTCGGGTCTCGGGGCCCAAAAGGGTTTTGGTCCACAAGGCCCATTATGTTTAATTTATATGACAACTAAAACAAAATGGGCAATTAGCCCAATAACTAAAGGATGGTCGGCCATAGGGTGAGTGGTAGAAAACTTGGCATAATTGCAAGTTTGCCACTCCAATGTGAAGTGCTATAAAAGGAACTTTATAACTTTACCACATCAAGGGTTTTCTTGTATGCAAAAAAGCAAAACTCTCTCTTTTGTCTTTCAAAGAGGCCGGCCACACTTAGAGGAAAAATAGCTAGCAATCTTCCTTCCTCTAAGTCATCCATTTCATCTTCACACCTCATCCTTGGTCTGGAGAGTGAGAGACACCAAACTTTTGGTGTTCTTGGAGTTCCTCTCGTCAAATCCTTAAGGAGCAAAGGAGAAGCAAAGAAACCATCCAAGGAGCAAAGGAGGTGACTTGAAGGCCCTCCACTTGGGTGAATCCCTTGTGTAAACAATGATGAGCTTCAAGGGTAATGAAACTCAAACTCTCCCTTCTCTTTAATTTGTTAAAGAGTCTTTTGGTTCACCATTCACTAGGCTTTGAAAGTCATGGGTTTTAGAATTGTTTTTTTAATGCATGCTTACTTTAAAATGCTAATAGTTTGCTTTTGTGTTCAAATGTTCTCACATGTTCTTAGCTAGGACAAAATTTTTCCTTCAAGTGGTATCAGAGCCTAGGTCTAGTGTATGGTGAATCCTTTTGGGTTTTGTGTTTTTCATGGTTTGTGATTTAAATGTTGTAAAGGTTACAAGCTTTGTTCTTGCTTTTTGAACATAAATTTTGTTTGAGAATTCAGCATCTCAAATGTTGTAGATGTAGTACATTTAACCATGAATATTGGAACTAAAATTTGGTGCCATGTATGTGGGGAAATTTGGCCAAATCCAAAGGGTGGATTTTTGGGTTTATGTTTGTCTTGTTAAAAGTGTTTTAAAGTGACATTAGGAACCCCCAAGTACCCTAGGATGTTAACCCTCTTTTGAGTAGTGTAAATTTTTGAATTTTAATTTTGTGAAAACATTCATGGAGCTCTTATGAGTTTTCATATGTGTTTTTCAATGTTCTTACTTTGTTCTTGATGTTCATAACAAGAACAAAAGGTTTGGTGCTTTGATTCAATGTGTTTGATGTTTTTCATAAAGTTTTGGTTTGTTATTGATTGGTGATGGATGATTGGTGTTTTTTATTGTTTGATAAATTCTACACCTTACTTACATTTTACAACCCATGCCAATCAACTATTCAACCCATACCTTTCACTTTTTTAACACTTTATAAAATTTTGATTTTTTACCAAAACCAACCCTCCCTTGACACTATCTAAAACTGGCCACCCCTTAGTGAGGGTATTTTTGGAGTTTTTATGCAATTACATAAAATTTTGATACTTTTGTGTATTTGCACTTTGGCCCAAAAGTTTACGTTTTTACGTAAAAACCCAAAATAATTAGAGGACAAATTGTTTTGCTCCTTTAATGAAATTTTTGTAATTGTTGAAAATTTTTGGGTTCTAGTTGTAATTACATGAAGTTGTGGACTTTTATGTTTTTACAAGTTACCCCAAAAGTTTATGTTTTTGCATTGTGGCCCAATAGTTGAGGTCATTACATTTTCGGGCCAAATTATGATGATAACAAAATGGTTTTGTCTCTTTAATGAGAATTAGATTTTCATTTCATTTAGTTTCATTTAAATCAGTTCTATGAATCCGAAAACCAATTGTTTAAGTTGCTTTCTTAGTTAATGTGATTGATTAAGAAAAAGGTGATTATGAACGAAATGCCTCAATAATTGAGCTATGTAATTGACTGCTTTACATTATGAATATTTGGGTTAAGTAGTTTAGATTTGAATGTAATTTGATTAGTTCAAATGTGTTGTAAAAGGGTATAAGTCCATCAAATGTGTTGTAAAAGGGCATAAGCCCTTCTCTTTATTTCAAGTATTCCTTTTGTTTATTTGCATACAAATTGGAATAGTTGGGTCCAATGCCCAATAGGCAATGATGGTTTAATTAGATTAAACGCGTAAGTAAAATCAACAACTACCTACCTTTAGACCCAAGGTTCAACACAGGGCATGTGTTGGATCAAATCAAACGGTTCATAATCATCATAAGACCTAAAATGATTATATAGTCCATATGAGGATGTTATGCATTTGTTAGTAGTTCCATATAGTCTCGCTTGTTTCATCGAAATAGTGGGAGTATTATATACTACTAATTCATATAAACTTGGACTAATGGTTATGATAGCCTCAAGTTCTTTTAATAAGATTAAAATGAAATTGATGTAGCCCAACACTACTCCTTCAACAAAACGAATATTAAGTTGATAAGCGAGAGATGCTTTGAACATCTCTTCGTAGGCCTTCCACCATGGAGGGCTCCAATCGTTTGTGACTCATACACCGGCTTATCCCTATAATGGGGAAGTTCAAAGTATGTGCTTACATTCAGGAGGAGTCCATATGTACATACATGATGTGGTGAGGTAGGAATGAGGATGGCCAACATCATATTATTGTGAGGATATTCTTGAACCCCTGCACAAACTAGGATGGTGGGAATGACTTAACTAAGTGCAATGGTGCCAACATCATATCATTGTGAGGCATCATTCTCTAGAGGCTAAACTAGATGGGTAATTACAAGAGTTGTAAATGACTAAAGAGTTATTCTCTCATCATTATTGTTGCTAACCAACATCATATCATTGTGAGGTGGGCATGGAAATGGTGAGCTTCCCATACCCCGCTAAGAGTTCAACAGAACTCTCGGATTCCACTGAGGGATGTGGAGTTTGCCAAAAATAGTGGTTGGTACTATTTGATTTAAGACCTAATCAAGTAGTTTTTTAAAATCAACAATCTAATACGATTTCTGTTATGTTATGTAGTTAACAACATGCCTAAAATTACACCTACCATTATACTTGAGAAAAAGAGCCTTAGGGGCCAACGTTTCCTTGCTTGGTATCATCACATTGAGAATGTCTCAAAGATGAATGACACATAGTATGTGCTCAAGCAATCCCTTCCTCATGTACCTCCTACAAAACTAGCTTCAAAGGAGGAGTGTCAAAATTATGCTAGACACTATAAGGATGACTTACGTTGTTAGCTTAGTTGTTAAGCAATTGTAAGAGATATATATATCTCATGTAATAACATTCTTTATGTAAGTTTACAATACAAGAAATATACAAATTCTCTTCTCTTCCTTTACATGCTTTTTCTCTATTTCACTAAATCTTCTTTCTCTGCTCTCTGTAAATCTCTGCAACACTCTCTGTTTACAATTGTTTTCTAATTGGCATGTCAACCACTTGGAAATCTATTAATTAATTTGTCAAACACTCGATCGACCATCATTTGAAAGCCGTCAATATATTATACAAGGGTTAGTCGTAAACAAGACACTCCTACTTACATTACAAATTGAAACTTAATGCATGGCAAAGAAGTAATAACCAACTAGGCAAGAATATAAACGAACAGTTTTGCAGTAAACCAATACTACATATATACCAGACTATTATACCACAAAATTAATCTATAGCGACAAAAACATAATAGAATAAATCTGATAGAAAGATCATGCCATTAGGATCAACCTAATTACTTTGTCACGTGAGCATATTATTCTCAAAACAAATAGAGCAATCAAACCAATAAACTTTTCCTAAGATTGTTAGAAAAATAGAGTCTAATTGCTATATTAAATCACATATAGAATCAATAAATAATTCATGCAATTATGTATCA